GATGGCTCACTTTCAACAATGCAATGGAGTCTCTTCCATGGTGTTGTCGATGGAGGTCTTCAATAGAGGACTTTGGTTCTTCAATGTGGGTCTTCACTTTGACTGTTGTAGGACTATGGGTCTACAAATTTCCAAACTGTAGCAGTAGGCAGTGTATGGAATGAGGGACAAGTGTGTAGAAGGAGGGTTGAAGAGGTGTGTGTATAATGATATGAGTGAATGTTATAATTGATACATTTATATAAATTGAGAAAATTAATTAATAATTAAATTATAAAGTGTGTGTACTAAGAAATAATGTGGATTGAGATAATTAAGTATGTGAAAATAGAATTTTCCTATTTTTCATGCGTAGACTTTTAAATAAAAATAATTCAAATTCAAATTCAAATTTTTGGCATGCAAGCCTAAACTAAAAAAATGTGAGAAAAAAGTGCGGATTGATTTAAAAAATTGAAGAACACAAATGGAAAAAGCAAACAAATGGGTGTTTTGGAAAGATAATTAAAAATTTATTTTTTGATTTTTTTAACTTTTTAACTTTTTAATGTGAAAAGAGAAATGAATTAAAAGCTGGTAAGTGATTTTTAACTCACTTTTCAAAAGATGCTAAAGGCTGTTTGCTGATAAGGATGCTAGCTAGCCTATTATTGAATTTCATTGGTGCGTTACACCATATCATTGTTGTGACATGGATTAGCCAATTTTTACTCTGCAGATCCCACTCCTGTCTCTCTTCCCTCTGGTTTTGTCTCTCTCTAAACCCTAAACCCTTTGTATCTCTCTATCTTGTATCCAAGCCAGACTGGACACATAATTGAAGTGATTTATAGGGTTTTAAGGATTTCCTCAACCAATATTTGCAGCGATGGAGGTTGATATGGAGACTTCTCCCAGCTACTTCGACCCCGAAGATCTCAGCACCAGAGAGCGCTATCCTCGTGATGGGTATTCTATTTACCATACCATACGCTTTCCATTTCAGTACTAGTCACTTTTTTCCCTCTGTTCTGCGTCACTATCATAACAACCCCTTTGCATATTTAAAATGCCCAATTTCAACCAGTGTCATTTGGGTTGTTCACATTTATTTCCATCAATTTGGTCTAACCACATTTATTTCCCCGTAGTATTAGTGCATTGTGCTCTCAGGCAGTGTTGGTGAATAATGAATTGGTGAAAGCGTTATGCACACTTGAACGCAAAGGCATCTTGGAGCGTTGGTGCAAAGCTCAAAGAAAATAATATATAATGATAATGATTCATAACATCTATAATAAAAAGTTAAAAATTCAAATAGCAATATATTTAGCCTTTTAATTGAAATGGTTAGAGTCTTATTCAGTTGTACAAATGTTGTAGTTCAAATTTGCATAGGCTTGTTGATGTAGTTCAACGATTTGGGGTTGTCTACACTCTGCCAAATTGTCTCAAAACTCTATTAGGGTGATATGGTTAAACTACTTCCAAACATTTCAAGCAATCGTGGTAGAAAATGACTAGATGACACAGATGGACATCTCTGCAACTCTGATATGGATCCCAAATAATCTACAAACAATAACAACCATAAGATATAACAACTATAAAATTTGTATGAAATAAAGTTTCAATTTTGAAGGACTTTTTAACTTACATCGTGTACACCCAACCTATTAAGCTCTTGTCGAAAAGCCTGCAATTGTGTCTTTTCACCAGACTCTCTGAGAAGTCCAATAGTAAACATGTGGCATGTGATGAGTATAATTCATATTGAGGTGCTGTCGGAATCCACGAAAGTGCTCATAAATCCATCATTCAAGAAGTGTCATGTAACTGGCTATTTATTTCACATTGGACTTGCTAGTGTACCCCATCTATTTGTATAAGTATGCCAATGCAGCAACATCCTAAGCATATGAAAGTACAGTCATCAAATCGGATAACAAACTCAAATAAACAACGGGGATCCTAGTACCAGTCTTGTCACTGAAAAGTGTACAACCCAACAAAAATAGCAAGTCTCACTGAATTGCCTCCAACACTAGACATCTTATGTCTTTCCGTTGAACAGTAGTACCAGTCTTTCCATTGAACCATCGTCTATAACATTATGAAAGTGTGCCCTCAATCACTCAAGTCTCACTGAGTTGCCTCCAACACTAGACATCTCATGTCCGATATCTTGCTCGTCAATTCCCAAGGTATTAACTACTAATGCAATGGCCCACCTTTATGACAACTTACGTATGCTAATAGATTTGCCTACAATGGAAAGCCATAGGATAGTGGCGACATCGTCCAATGTGATAGTCATCTCTCCAACAGTCACATGGAATGTGTTTGTGTTCGGTTACCATCTCTCAACAAAATTGGACACAATGATTTTGTTGACAAAGCGGTACATGCAACGAGCTAAGTGTGCAAGTCCTGACAACTCCACAATGTTTATAAATGTAGCGTTGTTGCCTTGTTCCCACCACAATCATGAACGAATCTTAGACAAGTGATTATGACACTTTAAGGGCCCCCTTTATTAGCACCATTCCAAATAGTTGTGACAACATGACTTTTAAAACTTTTAAGGATTGATGGATCAGTTGGCCCTCTCGAAAATGGCTGAGTAAGGATATCTTCATCAACAATGTTAGCATCATCACCAGTAGGATCATCATCCATAGCAATATCGTCCATAATTGGTGCATCGTGTATAGTATCATCATCCATGACAATGTGTGCATCATCATCATGCACTCGAGCTGCCCATGTCCACATCCACGTTTAGCATTTTCTAATTCATGGAGTCTTCTATTTGAAGTTGTTACTGACCGACATTGACTGGCACCGACATCCATCTGCATAAGCAAAATTGTTCTCATTAACCCAATAGAGCATTTATGTTGAAAACACTCTAATAAAAATATAATGAAATAGTCAAATTGTAGTCATTAACCCATATAGCAATAACATTAGAGGTTAGACTAGGGTGTGTTCTCTAGTTACATGAAATTTGAGTTCAAATCTCACTAGTAATATAAAATAAAATAAAATTGTTGGAAAAGAGGAACCGAAAGGGGAAAAATAGACCTAAAAGAATAAAATGATAGCATGAATTTCAGTGAATAATACTGGCTTCCATCTTAGTGCACCACAACATATTTGCTTCTACTCCCATTCATAAAATCAAACTCTCAACAGCACTCCAATCCTGTCATCTTTTAAACATAAATGAACCTAAGGTTCACCCAATCTTGGTGTGTAACTTTGTCTAAATAAATAAATAATAAATAAATCATTTGGAACCGCAGTACCGAAACAAAATACATCATTAAGAAAATCTACTATTGAAAAAATTGACAAAATTCGGAACTACATAATTGAAATAATTTGTTAAATTCGGAATTTAACCATCGATATTTTTGTTTTTTTTCGAAACTAACTTGTCGAATTAGTAAAAATTATTCGGAAGTAAATTTCTGAAATAAACACATAATTTCGGAAGACCAGGGTCGAAAACTTCGCAAAAGTTGAAAGAAAAAATGAGGGTTTTATGGTAATGGAGTGCACAGATGTCTGAAAATGATAAATGCAATAATAAAATGTTAAATGCAATAACAAAATGGAATGATGGTTCACCTTTAACAATGCAATGGAGTCTTTTCCATGGTGTTGTCGATGGAGGTCTTCAATTGAGTCTTCAATGGAATGGAGGTATTCAATAGAGGACTTTGGTTCTTCAATGTGGGTCTTCACTTTGACTGTTGTAGCACTGTGGGTTTACAAATTTCCAAACCGTAGCAGTAGGCAATGTATGGAAGGAGGGACAAGTGTGGGGACGGAGGGTTGAAGGGGTGTATGTATAATGATATGAGTAAAGGGTATAATTGATATATTTAGATTTAGTATATGAATTAAGAAAATTAATTAATAATTAAAGGGTAAATTACATTGACACCCCCTGAGGTTTATATTTATTACAGTTTCCTCCCTCCCCTTTTGAAAATTGCATCCCCTTCCTTGAGGTTTAAAGTTTCATTACAGATTGCTTCCTCTAGCAATTTAATTTTTTTAAATATCAATTTTGCCTTCACTGGGTAAATTACATTGACACCTCTCACATTTTAGAAATTACAATCCCCTTCCCAAGGTTTTAATTAGTATTACCAATTGCCCCCTCGGTTAGTATTCGTTGAAAAAAAAAAGTTAATTGGAAAAAGAATTATTTGAAAAAAAAGATTTTTTAGTCAAATTTTTAAATTTCTATTTAAAAACCAACGTAAACTCATTTTTTCAATTTACGTTATTTGCTCAAATTTACAAACTGAGACAACCATTTATAAATTCAAAAAATTATCAAAATTACATTGAATTGCACTCTAACTGTGTTGCACTCCAACGTAAGATAAAAATTACACTGACACCCCCTGAGGTTTATGTTTATTACACTCGAAAGATAAAAATTATATAAAAATGATAATTATTTTTAATTTTTTATTTCTTAGCCAAATTAATTTTTAATTTTAAATTTTTTTTCTAAAAATCAAACCATACATAGCCTAAGAATCTTTTGATAAATCATTTCTTACGCTGTTAACTTATTTAATTATTTATTAATTTTACAACATTTTTAGCATCGGAGGTCTATTTGGTAACCATTTCGTTTTCAGTTTTTAATTTATATTTACAAAAATTTTAAAAACTATCATAAAAACTTATTCGATAATTTTTTTGGTTTATAAATGGTTAACTCACTTTGTAAATTTGAGGAAACAACGTAAATTCAAAAAATGAGTTTACGTTGGTTTTTAAACAGAAACTTAAAATTTTGACTAACAAAATTTTTTTTCAATTAATTTTTTTTCAAATAATTTTTTTTAATTTTTAAAATTTTTTTTTTTATATAACAAGAGAAGTGAATTAAAAGTTGGGTTCCAAAAAAAGGCAAAAGGCTGTTTGGTGATGAGGATGCTAGCTAGCCTATTATTGAATTTGATTGGTGCCTTACACCGTATCCATTGTTGTGACATGGATTAGCCAATTTTTCCTCCTCAGATCCGGCTCCCGTCTCTCTTCCCTCTGCTCTTGTCTCTCTCTAAACCCTAAACCCTTTGTATCTCTCTATCTTGGATCCAAGCCAGACTGGACACACAATTGAAGTGATTTAGGGTTTTAAGGATTTCCACAACCAATATTTGCAGCGATGGAGGTTGATATGGAGACTTCTCCCAGCCACTTCGACCCCGAAGATCTCAGCACCAGAGAGCGCTATCGTCGTTATGGGTATTCTATTCTATTTACCATACCATACGCTTTCCATTTCAGTACTAGCCACTTTTTTCCGTCTATTTCTGCTTCACTATCATAACAACCCCTTTGTATCTTTAAAATGAGACTTCTCCCAGCTACTTCGACCCCGAAGATCTCAGCACCAGAGAGCGCTATCGTCGTTATGGGTATTCTGTTCTATTTACCATACCATACGCTTTGCATTTCAGTACTAGTCACTTTTTCCCCTCTATTTCCATCAATTTGGTCTAACCACATTTATTTCCCCGTAGTATTAGTGCATTGTGCTCTCAGGCAGTGTTGGTGAATAATGAATTGGTGAAAGCGTTATGCACAATTGAACGCAAAGGCATCCTGGAACGTAAGTGCAAAGCTCAAAGAAAATAATATACAATGATATAATGATTGATAACATATATAATAAAAAGTTAAAAAGTCAAATAGCAATATATTTAGTTGTACAAAGGTTGTAGTTCAAATTTGCATAGGCTTGTTGATGTAGGACAAATAGAGATAGCAGCAACAGTGAGCTTTGGCGCTGATTTTAATGTCAAAGTGCAGAAAACATAATAGGAGAAGGAGAAGAAGAAGATAGTTGTAGGAATTACTCCTAAAATCCTTTAGACATCACACCTAGGTTAAGAAACATGGACACTAACACTCGTTGGACACTTCTCGACATGTGTCTAACTCTTGTCAAAATGTGTCCTATTTTTTAAAAAGATTTTTAGATCCGGACATTTGGAGGACACATGTGGCCATTGCTTAAACACAAGTGTCCACCGATTAGACACACATGAAACTAGTTATAACTTATAAGTTTGAACTAAATAACTTAGGATACAATAATAAAAGAAAAAACAAAGTAAATTTATAAAATAAGTGTTATATTGTATTTTTTATTATTTTTGAATGACATATTCGTATGTGTGACATGAGATAAATATATTAAATTATATATTTCATGCGTGTCCCCCACTTGTCCTATATTTTTTGAAAGTTGGCATGTATGCATGTTCGTATCGTATGTGTGTTGTGTCACGTGTCCATGTCTGTGCTTCTTAGTACCTAGGGTTTGATTAAGAAAGCTTCTAAAATTCTCTAACATCAACTCTATTAACTTAGAAGCATTACGCGACTTTATATAAGCTTTAGAGATTTCCTATTCCAACTAGAACTAGAAAAGAAAACTACTAAAAATACTTTGACTTCCAAAACTAATTTAAGCCCAAATAAGAACAAAAAATTAAAACTAATTAAATAACTTGATCCACAAGACAACCCATGGGCAACTCCTATAGCCCATGTCAGCAAATATGAAAATTACCAAAATACCCTTGCCCTAAAAATCCTAGAAAACTTAAAAATAATAATAAAATAACACTCTAATAATATTAGAAACATGATTATATATGGTTCTTATTGGTTTTTCTTTGAAATCATGCCAACTTTCAAATATTGTCGCTTCTTTGAATTTATGCTTCCTTGAGCTTCTTATACTTTGCATCATTTGCCAATATCTTTAAATTGGAAAACAATTATTGATGGATAATATAACAAAGTGACCAACTAATCATATACCATTTAAACAAATCTTTTTATATAATTGCTCACGTGCTTTACCAAATATTCACAATTACAAAATATTCTCAATCATGATACTTGATAGTCATGATCAAAATGACGTATATGCTTGAATAAAAATATATCTAAAAGTCAAAATTGAAAAACACTAGTGGTCCACGCCAAACATAAGCAATGCAATACAATCCTATAAGTGTATAATGATAATTATCATTAAGCATAAGACCATCATCATTGTAATCTAAAAGTAGAGCTAATAAATTATATATGTTAAAATATAAAAAAAAAAAAAGCTCGATTTAAGCTTATTAGATAGAATGTTTTTAGTGTAGTGTTGTAAATACGCTTCGTTTTACCCACTAAAAGCTCTTCTGTTATTGCACTTTAAGTGCGTTTTTACCAACACTGCTTTAACAAATTACAGAATTTACTGTATTTCGCTTATGCAATGTGTAGGAAAAGGCACTCAACTTCCAGTCACGACAATTCAGTTTCTAAGTTCAGTGGAACCGGGATTTTGTATGATGGGCAGAACATTGAAAGGCGGCCAAACGCTGCACTTTTTCTTGAAGATATCAAACAAGAGGTTGAGAGCTATGATTCTGATCAATTAGAAGGAACACCTGCAAAGACACAATCTGCTTTGTGGAGAAAATCATTGGCTGGCAGTCCTGGTGTATCTGAGGCAGATGCTGTTGCTGATTCGATATGTCGACCTGGAAGTTATTCATTAAAATCTTGCAAGCATGAGGATGATGCATTGTCAGATGGTGGATATACAACTTTTACTTTATCTGCTTCTCTACTTGATTCTGCTCTCCAAGGTGCTTGAAGTAAAATTTCTCAATTAAAATCACAATTTTCTCACTGTTTTTGCATATGGATTGGTCTCTTGCATCAATGGTTATAGATTTTGACCAGGTTTGAAGGATGTGTTTAAGTTGCATTTATTCATCTAACCTATGCCAGTTTCTGTAGGTGTGAGATCACAAGATGTTTTCTTGAATCTAATTAATGTCAATTTTGGAGCTGAGTGGATCATTTAAAAAAAAAATTGAACTTTAATTATTGTGGATTCAGTGACATCAAATAGGGCAATTCATCAAGTGCATTAATCTTTTGGAGTTTCAGGAACTAGTTGATTATGCTTCTGCATATGTGATGCCACTATATTTTTGTGTTTAATTATGTGTAAATCCAAGTTCAACCCCATGTGGAGTTTTTCATTTTGTGTCATACTTTATGGTATATATCCATTTAGGATTGCATGATGATGAAATAGTGCAATGCTACTTGGTTTTTTGTTGTTTTTGGGGATAGACATTTAATTACTTGCTAAAACTGGCATGGAAACTTTTCAAATTGCTTGATGCTTATGATCTTCTTTAGAAATGAAATTTGATTTTGACCTCAATTGAAGTTCATTTTGAGTCAACTTTTCTATCCTCCAGTTAAATTGTTATTTTATATATTACAAAATCTTTAAATCTTTGATTTATGTTATTCTGAGCCACGTTGGATGCTGATCTAGTAACTGTTTGGTGCTAACCCAATAAATATTTCCATTCCATAACTCCTGGAGAATGTTTTGGAGGATTTTGGACTTAAGATGGTAGACTTGAGAAGCTTACAAAGATTATTGATTTGCTTCTTTGAAAGCTAAATGGATGCTTTATCTTGTTTCACATTTTAAATTACTACACTGGTGTTCAGAATTTTCTTTCTGTGCTCAAGTTTCTTCTGCCACAAAACTTATTATGCCTTTGTTTGGAAAGTGGGTTTGGGGCTATTTTAGCCACACAAAACAAAATAGGTTTTTTAGCCCAATAAGACAAAACATCACTTCTATCTCATAATCATTACATTCTTTCTCTCACAAAAAAGCCAAAAAAGCCAAAAGTCCTTCTCAAACTAGGCTTTTTAGCCCCAGGCTAAAATAACCAAAAAAAACCAAAAAGCCAAAAAGACAACCCACTTCCCAAACCAAGCCTATGAATAACATTTATGATTCCCTTGTGTATCTTACAGTTGACATTCTGTGTATAACAGGGTTGATGCCTATCCCTAATCTGATATTGCAATTTGAGAGATCTTGCCGCAATGTATCAGAGTCAATAAGGTGGGTCTCACACTTCTCGTATATTTTTATTTCTGTTGAAGAGTCTTCTTTCGGAATGTGTGCACATGTACCACTATAGCATGCTGAGTATTGTGAATATTATTGTAGTATTTTACTGTGCATGCACGAGAAACATATCTTTATTAGGGTGAAAATAGGAGGTGGGTAGACAAGGGAGGAGGAAGTCTCATTTCTAGTTTATAAAGAAAGAAACAATGAGAAAGGCTAAGAAGTACGGAGACTTCTGAGAAGGTAACGTATCCGTGTCATGTCCGTGTCGAACACCGACACTCTTAGGACAGGTGTTCGACACTCTTCAAAACGTGTCCTATTTTAAATATTTTTTAAAGAACCCAACCCTCTTTGAATACTTGGAGGACACACGTGTCTATTGATTAGACACATGTAAAACTAACTATAAGTTTGAACAAAACAACTTAAGACAATAATAAAACATAAACCATAAATTTATAAGAATTAGTGTCATATTACATTTTTTATTATCTTTCAATAATATATTCATACATATAACATATAATAAATATATAAAATTACATATTTCATGTGTATCCCTCACATGTCGTGTCCTGCATTTTTTGAAAATTAGCTTGTCCGTGTCGTGTCACGTGTCCGTGTCCATGCTTCTTAGGAGAAAGGTCTCTGCCTAAAATATTTTGTATAGTGCACTTTTTTTCTTTTTGTAAATACTGGCTCTGAATTGTGCTGAATGAGGTTCTTAGGATGTAGTTATCATGAATATTTTGTTTTGATTTTTTCATATTAAATTTGGTAATGCTTAGCATCTTGGTTGGTTGTTTTACTGTGTCCCTGTGCTCTGCTTCCGTAGGTATGGATCCAATGAAAGACATAGAATTGTGGAGGACAAGTTGATGAGGCAGAAGGCTCGACTCTTACTTGATGAGGCTGCTTCTTGGTCTCTTTTGTGGTACCTATATGGGAAAGGAAATAAATCTCTAACATTAATGTTCCTATCATAGAATTGATGTTTTATATAGATAAAGTGGGCTCTACAGTGTCACCACAACAATATTGAAACTTCTTGAATGCATGCTCATTGAAGTTTGAGAAGTTCATACTTCATGATTTATGTATTGAGGAGTGAAGTATTTGTGTAATTTATCCATTCTCTGTTGGTATCAAATTATTTAGTTGTGCATAAGAAGAAATAGCATTGTGACATTCAAAAATGATTTTAAAGTAGTTCCATGTTACTAGATTAAAGCACATTTGAAGTTTATATTTGTCAGTTACATCCCTACTGAATATATGAGCATATAAGTGATCTGACCATTCTCTTTGATATTTACCATTAATTCGTCTCTCTTGGTCAATGTAATATTTGACCACTCCACTCTGCACCTCACCTTTTAATCCACTGTTTCAATCGGGCTAGTTATGTAGACTTCTGAGTATCTTGCTGGTTCATGGTGTAACGATCTTTATGAGACAACATTGGTATATGTTACAATATCGGATCGTGAATCAGCTAGTATTAGAAATCTTGGAGGATTTTTATTCCTGATTGTTGGTGCATGTCATACCTGATACCATGTCTAATTGAATACTTAGAAAGCTTTACAAATTGTTATCATTTTCCTTATTAAACAAAATTCTACTTGATGGTGAAATTGGTCATTCTTTTATGTACATTTCTCATCACATAACTTTCCACAAATTGAATTCTTAAATTAGATGATTGGCTATCCCAGCATTCATCTTAGAATGTTCAAACTTTAGTTACATATTTGCTCACATAGTTTCCTGGTTAGGAATAATGATGCATATTGAAGTTACTTAGTGTACTTGAATGTTTAGACAAGGTATTCTTGTTGGCTCCTGCATGTTTATGTTGGCTTGTTTGTGAAATTTGTTTTTTCATCTTCTTGCAGGAAATGAAGAACTTCCAGAAGATCTGATGCTGGTGATGCATCTTCTATTGTTAACTCTCAAGTTTTCCATTATGTTTTCTTGCTCTTATTTTGTGAGCTCATCTAATGCCTTATGACAGTCACCTACAACTTCGCATTTGGAGGCTTGCCAGTTTGTTGTCGCAGATCATACAGCACAATTAGGCCTCCGGATTGTTCAGTGGCTTGAAGGATTAGCCTCCAAAGTGCTTGATTTGGATAATGAGGTGGTGACTCTGCTACTTTCTCTTGTTTTGACAGTCTAATGATTATCCATGGTTTGTTGTTTCTTTACTTTTTAAAATTTAATTTTGATTTTGAATGTTTTTCTTGTTGCATTTCAAAAGACAGTCTGAAGCTGCCAACTATTGTGAATTGATACCATAATCCACCATATACTTGAATTATTTTTTTCCTTTTCGATTAGAGAAATTATCATAGTTGAAGGTGGCTATTTTCAGCCATTATTATTATTTAGTTTATTTGAGGTCTATTTTAGTAAACAAATGATTTAGATTGTGAATTGATCAAAATGACTTTTTTCCTGGAGATATTTCAGTGCACGTTAATAAATCAAATATATTATCAAGATATTGGGTGGCAAAGAAGATGAAATATGCAATAGGTTTTATGTCCTGAAATTTGAAAGCAAAAGATCTAATGCTTTTATTCTGTATTAGTAAAAGGAGAATGTGATTTGGTAGAAGAATCAGTGACTTGCAACATTAATTGCCTGGTCGTAGGAGAGTGGTGATGGGCCCTTGGAGGGTTAAACAGGAGCAATTGTAAATTGTATTCCGAAAGCAAAATTTTGTTTTAATACATTGTAGTTCAGAAGGCTGTTTGGTGGGAAGGTTGCAAAGCATGATATAATCTTGGAAAAGGGAGAACTTAAATAGATAATTATATTTAAATGGAGACTAGTAAGTCTAAGATATGTATAACTTCACATGACAATCCATATTGTAAGTTTACAACTATGGTGTGTGGTGATCAAGACATGCATGTACTTGCTACAATAAGTCATCTAGAAACTAGAGATGGATTACATTATATGCATCATGGGTGAGGATCAAATGCTTGTGTCATGAAGAAATTAAAGGATGTGGAACAGTGACAACTTTACATTCATTATTTACCCAATAAACCACATAGGGGAACACATTGCAGCAGAAATTATTGACTTACCTGTTTTTAGGAACCGTATCTGTTTTTTATTTATTTTATTTTTTTTGGGAGCAATTTACAGATATGGGAAAGGCATTGGGGTTTTAATTGAGGGCTTTGCAGGTAAGAATAGTCTCATTGTAAGATGAAGCGTAACAAAACTGAGGTTTGCACTATTATAGTGAAATAAATTATATTTAACTAGGGAGTATTTATGTAATTTATTTTGATAAATAAAAAAGTATTGATGATATCTGCATGTGGAATAGAGGAGGTATTTTATATGATGAGAGAAAAGAGAAGGAATAAAGAGGGATATAAATGCTGCATCAACTACTATGTGTGCTGTGAAACTAAGCGGGTGACTGAGCAAAGGTCAAGAAATGAGACAAGAATAGTAGTATATTATGTGGTTTAGTATTATGTTGGTTATCCATGGAAGTTATTGTTATGTTATGCAACTGAAGGAAATATGAGCATCTTCATATTGTTTTGTGGCTTTTGATGGAGTCATTACATGGGGGCCAAGAAGTCCACCGAAGTGATTCTTAATTACACTAGGTTAAGGTTGCATTGGGAAGGTCTTCTTTTGGATTGATTATGGTTGGATTGGTCAGGCACTTCAGAGAAGAGATCCCATGTTGTATGCCATTTGTGATCACTAGTTTGACTAGTAGAGACTGATAGTTTAGAGCTTGATTTAAGTTGAGATGCTTTAGATTTCAATGGGTATATATGAGAAGCAAGACTAGAGTTGGTAAAAGGATTTTGTAGAACTGGGTGCTGGTGGTGAGGGTGTAATGATAATGGGTAGCCACTGTCCAACAAATTACGAAGACTGCTGATTTTATCCATCAATTGTTAGATAAAAAAAGTGCAGATGTAAGGAAATATCCACAAGTTAATTTCATGAAGAAAGTAGAAACATTGTTGTGTGGGATCAAGCATATGTATCGAATTGGAAGAAAGTCAATTAGGACAATGGGTGTGCTTTATTGATGGACAAGATCCAGGAAGTGATGGAATAACACACTCATAAGGGTTTAATTAAAACAGAGGAGGCTGAAATGGATGATTGATTGGTATGGATGGATGCTAGACATTTCATTGATACCACCAGTTGTGGGATGGGTAAGCAAATGTTGACTAAGCTTTCTGGTCATGCAAAATGAAAATGGAGACGTCTTAATGAAAACATAGACTATGGGATGACAATTTTGTGGCTCTCATTCACACTCTTTTTTTAGCCCGGTTGACTTCTAGTTTTCATATTTGAACATGTGGTTGGCCCGAAGCAGAAGGGTCAAACCATGATTAAGCTATGCTGGGTCCTATTATCAATATCTAGACAGAATACCAAAGAACCATTCGGCAGCCATTTAGTTATTTATTTTCTTTGAAGAAGATTGTATTTAAAAATAATTGTTTGATTTCCTTGGTTCTTCCCTGATAGTTTAAAACTTCACAATAATTTGACTGAAATTGTATTAGGAGTTCTGTGGTATGGTTGGCATAACTGTTGGTTGTCTTTGCAGGTGAGAGGTTCTCATGTTGGTACTTATCTCCCTAGCTCTGGGGTCTGGCATCATACCCAACGTGCTCTAAAGAAAGGTGTCTCAAAACCAAAAACTGTTCATCACTTGGATTTTGATGCTCCAACGCGTGAACATGCTGAACAACTACCCAATGATAAAGTACTTTTCGATGAACAATTGTCTCAATAATATATAATTTTATTTCACCAATGAACTGCTTGTGGTCTGTTGTAGTACATTTTGAATATAATTTTGATTACATTTCAATATATTAAAGTCCTTTTCACATCTGTTCAGTTTTGCAACCACGCACTGTATCTGTATCCTATGCCGTTCATCTTGTTGGCTTCAATTTTCGTGAAACTAGTAGATCTAGAAGATTTTAACATTTTTTGAAATGTATTATTTGTTAGAATTATGTTAACTCTTTTTCTTTTTTTTTATATCAACCGAAACAAGATGAATCTCTTCTGGAGGATGTCTGGACTTTGTTAAGGGCTGGCAGACTAGAGGAGGCATGTGATCTTTGCCGGTCTGCTGGACAGGTATGGAAATTTTTTTTGAGGTTGTAAACTTCCAGGCCCATTGTGATATTAAATTCCCTTTGGACAGGCATGGAGAGCTGCAACTCTATGCCCATTTGGAGGGTTGGACCCATGTCCATCAGTTGAAGCCCTGGTAAAAAATGGAAAGAATAGAACTCTACAAGCTATTGAACTTGAAAGTGGCATTGGTCACCAATGGCGCCTTTGGAAATGGGCTACCTATTGTGTATCAGAGGTACGGGGAAAAATATTTAATCAAAGTACTTTCTGTTAGCGAACTTTCTTATGCAGTTACAATGATTTTTATAAATGTCGCACACAAATTCCTTGTGCTCCCTTTCTCTCAATATTTTGTGGTTCTAATTTTTCTCTTCAGCAACTCCCATTGATTGATAAATCAAATCTTGTTGACTTTCTCTTGTAAGATTGGTAGACAATTGACATTATTGTACATTGTTTTCTGCTCTTGTTGTTTGGAGATTCTCAATTTTTGTAGCTTAATAAGATGCTGCCATATCTCCATTAAAAAATGGTCGATCAATTGAGTGATTTTCTTTCTTCTATGCCTTCTTATATTGAAGAGAATTGCAGAGCAAGATGGTGGGAAATATGAAACAGCAATATATGCAGCCCAGTGTAGTAACTTGAAGCGTATTCTTCCTATTTGTACAGACTGGGAGGTAAGTTTTTGCTCCTTCATGATGCTACCTTCTAAATTTTTATCAGTTTTTTTTTTGGGTGAATAATTTTTTTTTTCTCAGTTTTTGTTCACCCCTAATTTACTTTGATACATCGTTTGAGCTTTTTGTAAGAACAATCAACTATTTATTCCTCCTACCTATTAATTGGCATAAAATACATATGAGCATATGCAGAAGCTCTCCCAGTTGTGGTTTTGATTCTAAGCATGTCTATTTGGCTTCTACAACATGGATTGCAACATATATATATATATATATGTATGTATAATATATGTTGAGGAGGCTGTTTGGTTAGGCTGATTTTAGAAAAGCTCAATAGGGTTTCCACAAATAGAATTATGTGGGATTTTGATTCCTTTATAAGAGTGTGAGTTGATTGATCTACCCTTGAGTAATGCTCGGTTTACTTGGTCTAATCTTCAAGAGAATCGTGTTTGCTGTAGGTTAGATAGATTTCATCATACTTTGGGTTGGGAGGGGTTGTTTCCTAATTTACGGCAAGAGGTAGTGCCAAGAGTCGTTTTGGACCATTGCCTAGTGATTTTTGAGAGTTGTACTATAGCGATCCCGGGTTTACCCTTGATGAACAGTGATCCGGACATGTGTCCGTGGATGTTGGTAGTTGTTGTTTATCTTGTTTACATTCTTTTTACTTTGTATTTGAGTTATAGGATGTGTTGGGCAGGTTTGTTTCAGGTTGGTTGTGTTAGGGAGCCTAGTGTTGCTGCCCAGATTTTTGAATCTTCGCTCGAGCCAGGAGGTTGTCGCTCGAGCGAGAGTTGAGTTGTGTCTGGTGGGTCGAGCCAGAGAGGCTTCGCTCGAGCGAGAGCTTGCATCTGGTTCTGGACCTGAGAGTTGTGTTTTCTGGCTCGAGCGAGCTTTTCTTGGCTCGAGCGGTCTGGTTTGTTCTTCGCTCGAGCGAGCGGTTTTCCGCTCGAGCGTGCTTCTGGTTGTAGACCTGAAGGGTCGAGTTGTGGGCTCGAGCGAGCAATCTGTGGCTCGAGCGCACTTTTGAGTTTTTGGCTCGAGCGAGAGTTCCTTGGCTCGAGCGAGTATTTCTGTGTCTGGTCGCTCGAGCGACCAAGTCTTCGCTCGAGCGAGAGTGTGTTATATCAGCGGTCAGTAGCGATTTTAAACATCACTTTTTCACCTCTTCCTTTTCTAAAAACCCAGATCCGAGACCCTCTCTCTCTACACTTACACTCTCTCTAAGAATTGATCTCCCTAGGGTGTGAATCTAGCCTAGAGCCTTTGTTAAAAAGATAGAGGGCATTGAGAGCTTTATTTTAATCTGAAAAAGTTTGGATTTGGAGCACGTTGGTTTTTGAGTCTTCATCTCCTTTTGGGCTCAAACTTCGAGGTAGGGATATCCTACTCCTCTCTATGAATTCTGTCTTTAAATTTTGGTATTTTGAGATGTTGGGGTTGGTTTGGTAATTTTGAGAAAGTTAGGGGCTTTTGTGTAATTTTACAAAGGTTGGGGTTTTATTCATAATAAACCTAGATGCATGTTTGGCATAGAGAATAAATGTTAAATCATTGATAAAATGGGACCTAAGGGTTGAAATGGTAATTATGGAATTGACCTAATTACATTGTTGATTAATTGGGATAATTAATTGGAGAATGAGGAAATGTAATGTTGATTGAATATCCATTTTGCATTTATTTTCTGTTTAGAAATAACTGCTTTGGGCTATCGGTGGAGGATAGTCGTGATTGTTGTAGACAATGCATGATGATTAGGCAAACTGAAACTAATCAATGGAATGTGTCATGGAATATGATGATTGATAGAATACATTAACTATATGTATTGAGTGTTTGTATATATAACCAATGTGTTTGTATACGTTATGTGTAGAGGAGGAGATGGGGGATGTACTCCGCGGTTTAGGGGAAGATAGGGGATGTACCTCTAAACCGGATAGTGTTGGGAGAAGATAGGGGATGAACTCCGTAGATAGAGCTCATATGCTTATCTAGAAAAAGGGAAGATAGAGCTCATATGCTTATCTTTGTGAAGTGTGGATATAGCTTATGCTCTGTCTAGAGAAGTGAAGATAGAGCTCATATGCTTATCTTCACTTCTCTAGACAAGCATATGAGCTCTGTCTAGAGAAGTGAAGATAGAGCTCATATGCTTATCTTCACTTCTCTAGACAAGCATATGAGCTCTGTCTAGAGAAGTGAAGATAGAGCTCATATGCTTATCTTCACTTCTCTAGACAAGCATATGAGCTCTGTCTAGAGAAGTGAAGATAGAGCTCATATGCTTATCTTCACTTCTCTAGACAAGCATATGAGCTCTGAACTCCATTTTGACATGGTTAGAGTATTCGAGAGCGTATGGCTGGAAAATTGCTCCTTCAAAGCTTATTTCAAGGAGTGGTGGGAGAATGGAAGAGTCCATGGGTTTTTGCGGAAGTTGAGAGGGTCAAGGAGAGTTTAATGGTTTGGAAGCATGAAGTTTTTGGTGATCTAAATGGGTTGAAAGTAGAGTTAGTTCGGGGTATTGAAGATTTGGATGCAAAGGAGTCTGGGGAGTGTTTATCTAGGACTTCAAGAGATGAGAGATCATTGCTCACATTAAAGTTGGAAGAGCATGATTTTAGAGAGCAGATTTTTTGGGGACAGAGCTAAGTTGAAATGGGCAAAAGAGGGCGACATCAATTCAAGATTTTTTCATAGGGTTGTGTCGGGGAAAAGGAAGAAGAATTTCGTTAAAAATTTGGAAATTGGGCAAGGATTGGTGGTGAATAAGGAGGAGCAAATCATTAATGAGATTTTCAATTTTTACTTGATTCTCTATTTTGATGGAGGAGTGGACCGTCTAGGGATCGAAGGTATTTTTTGGGCTCTTGTGGATACCTTGAAAGCCAATTGACTCGAGAGACCCTTTGAAAAATGTTCGATGCAATAGGCTGTGTTTGAATGCGAGAGAGATAAGGCTCTAGGCCCGGATGGTTTCTCAATGGCAAGTGTATCAAGACCGTTGGGAGATCATGAAAGGGGATCTTATGAAAGTGTTTGGTGAGTTTTTTGAGAGTGGGGAGGTTAACTAATGCACCAATGCATCCTTCATTTGTCTCATTCCCAAGAAAGAGAAGTCGGTCAAGATTGGAGATTTCAGGCCCATTAGTTTGGTTATGTCACTTTACAAAATTTTGGGAAAAGTGCTCTCCAAAAGAATTAGAGCTGTCCTTGGGGAAATCATTTCTCCCTCACAAGGGGCCTTTGTGCATGGACGATAGTGGCCAATGAGGTTGTTGACATTTCGGGGACACACGGACACAACAGAGACACGTATGGGACACACCGCATGGCGTGTCCCCTTATTTAATTAATTTATTTTCAAGGGACACACTAGGGACATGCCAAGTTATATATATATATTTTTTCCATTTTATTTGGTGCTTTTGATGAATGTTAAATGTTTATTATTTTTTTTCTTAGATTTAAATACTTAATAGACCATCTATAAAAAAATGTGTTACTTTAAAAGTTTTTTTTTTTTTTTTCCGTATAAAAAAATATAGGACTAGAATTAGAGTTAGTTTTTGTTAATATTGATTGTTTGTGGATGTAATATTAATCTAAATAGAAAATAAAAATATATGAAAACATATTTTATTGTTGTGTCCCTGCCGTGTTCGTGTTCCCATTTTTTGGAAATCACTATGTCCTGTGTCCGTGTCCGCATCCGTATTCGTGTCCGTGCTTCTTAGTTGAGGAGTATAGGGGATTGCATAAAAAGGGCGCTGTTTTTAAGGTGCATTTCTAGAAAGCATATGATCATGTGGATTGGGGCTTTTGAATTTTGTGTTGGAAAGGAAGGGCTTTGGGTCTAGGTGGAGGAGATGGATTTGGGAGTGTGTCATCATGCAATATGTCGGTCATTGTGAATGGTAAGGTTGGGAATTCTTTTAGGTCATTGTGAATGTCGTCATGCAATGTCACCATTTTTGTTTATTTTAGTTGTTGATGTGTTGGGTAGAATCATCGATCTAGCTAAAGAAAAGGATGCTATCAAACGATTTGTGGTGGGTAGGGATAGGATTGGTGTCACCCATTTACAGTTTGTGGATGACACTATCTTTTTTTTCCGTCAATGGAGGGCAAGGTTGGCAATTTGCTAATGCTTTTGAGAATCTTTGAAATTGTGTCAGGGCTCAAGGTTAATTTTAGTAAGAGTAGTGTTGTGGGTATGAATTTGGAGTCTACCTATGTGCAAAGGATGGCGGATATGCTGGGATGTCCCATTGAGTAGTTTCCTCTCAATATTTGGGGCTTCCATTGGGAGGAGATCCTAGATTGGCATCTTTTTGGGAGCCTGTATTTGTCAAAATTGGAAAAAGATTGGAGGGTTGGAAGTGTGCTTTGTTATCTATAGGGGGGGGGTATACTTTGGTACAGTCCGTGTTGGGTTATGTTCCTATTTACTTCTTATCCTTGTTCAAAATTCCGGTCAACATTGCGAGGAAAATTGAGAAATTGATGACAAATTTTCTTTGGGAAGGGTGTGATGAGGGTAAAAGGGATCATCTAGTTAAGTGGGAGGTTATTTCTCTTCCTAGGGATAAAGGGGCCCTTGCTATAGGAAACATTGTTACCAGGAACATTGCCCTCTTGAGTAAGTGGTTATGGAGATTTTCTATTGAAAGCGGGTCGCTATGGTATTCTATCATTAAAAGCAAGTATGAAGTTCAGGCCAATGGTAGATATTCTAATGTGGTTGCTAGAGGTAATTGTCGTTCTCCTTGGAAGTTGATCACTCGTTTGTATCCACAAGTGTCCAATTTCCTATCATTGAAAGTGGGGAATGGGGTGAGTATCCGATTTTGGGAGGATGTTTGGTTAGTAAATTCCTTGTTCGATAGAGCTTTTTGACTCTTTTACAGATTGGTTCGTACTCGGGATGTTTCAATAGCATCGGTGGCATGTTCTAATGTGGCACCCATTTCTTGGAATCTTGGTTT